TAAATGAGATTTTATCCTGAAGAATCTAATTCTTCAGCTTTAATAAGCTTTATCTTTTTAAACCAACTTCCAGCAAATGAAAACCAAGCTTGTGCCTCCACGTCAATATAACGTTATTAATCACAAAATAAATATTGGTTTCTGGTAAACCTCCAAGACAATGCAGACTCCGATTCTCTTTGAGATAGTTTAGGTGGCAAAAGTTAGGGTTGCTTTGGTTTGGGAATTCTGATGTAGCAAATCTAGTATTTAAAGAAAGAAAGATTTTTATGAGGGGGGAAAAAAAGCTCATAAAATGCACACTTGATATTTGTGCTCTTATTTATTAACTCACAAGCTTTTTTTATTTGTGGCTTAAGATGAAAACAGACTAAAATGAGATTAAACCTGTTTTACCAACCACTTCGAGCAGGATTTTGGAAGAAAATGAGGAGTCCATACAGAAGGAAAATGAAGTCACAGTTTTCTTGAGCAACTCCTGATTTTGATTTTGAATCTGAGATTCTTTGAAGGAACTTCCTTTTTAAAGACATCTCAGTAATTTCTGAAAATCGGGGTCTCATATTAGGCAATCACTACCTTGAATGACTGTTTAAAGTCATATCAGAGTTTTAAAAGCAAATACTTATAAACTAACAGATCTGCTTTATTACAACTAAGGTGCTTTTTGTAACAAAAATGAATAAAAATAATTGTATCCAGTGATTTTAGGATTTAAAAATACTGCTTGTAAGACACTCAGCAGTTTCAAGCTACTTAAACTAAAACCAAAATAAGGCATCTTCAGAAAAAGACATTACATTTTAAGCTTTGTGATTCAGCGCTAAATTCATGTACATAATTGTACACTAGTACAGAAAACATTACCATAGCTTCAGCTACAGATGTCAAAATGTCAAGCTGTAGTTACTTAGCTATCAGGTCTCCATATTCTGTTGTTAGCTTCAGATCTCCTGCAATTTCCAATTTATGAAGAACAGCATTTGTACCTCTCAAACAAGTAATATTTTATGGCCATTGTTTTTTCACAGAAATTTCTGAATTCTGGAGTTTTAACCTACAGGGAAAGATACGCCATCTGAAAGTTTGTTATTTTAAATTCATTTACGTAATGATTACGGTTTCCATATATTTCCTTATTAATGTTTCCTTAGCACTAATATGGCATTATTTTCAAACGTAAAACATTTGAAAAAAATGAAGGCTACGAATAGCTACAGATGAATTTAACAATTAAAATAGGAAGTTATGTTCTAACTTCAGAAAATTCAGAAGAAATGTTGTTCATTCAGTTTACTTCTCTTCCTTTGTCTTATACCTGAGCAATTACATCCTATGATTATCATTATCCAATCTGGCCCTTGAGAAAGAATGCAATCCTATCTTATCATAGTACAACTACTGGTTAAATGTAAGAGTAGTCCACAAAAAAGTATTCAAAACAGCATGCTCTTCAGATATGACTTGCACGAGTCCCCAGAGCAGGGCAGACCTAAGAAGGTGAAAAGATCACTTTAGGAAACAAAGCGTCAAAATTACCGTTGACTAACTGTTGTGGTTAATAAGACTAATGACTAAATTGGCCAAAAACCACTTCTGTCATTAAATCCATTTTTAACAGGAAGAAGTTTGGGAGAAAAATCTTACTGTAGTTAATAATTAATGTGCCTGGGCATGCATGAAAAGGATTTGGCCCATTAAGAGAAATTTCACAGTTGTGCAAGGCATTCTGGCATAACTCTACTTGTGTGACTTTATTAAATGCTTTGTTGAATCAGGATCTTAGCTCATCATGCCTGAAAACAGCATGTGTTTCATCTCAGCGACTCATCAGGTGGGACAGACGTGAACGTCTCCCCTCTGTTCAATGACGTCTGAAGATCTTGGCTAGAACTATCAACTTAATGAACAACATAATAATACCATGTTGTTCTGGAAATTGTTTTGGGATTTGTTATGAATTATTTTCATTAGAGGGTCTTTGATCACGTTGATTCAAGTCTGCCTTTTACACAGTGCACTAGAATACCCAAAGAATGCCAGAACACTGGCACTTTAAACCTCTACATCCGCTGCCTATTTCTAGCGTGCAACACAGTGCACTGGCCTTCCCACTTTAGTGTGCTGCTTGATCCTAGGCCTGCCATCCAGCACACAGCATAGCCCAACGAGTAAACGTGAAAAAGAAAAGTTATTTGTTAACCTTCAGAACACTGTGGCTCTGAATCTGCTTGTACTGTGTCATTTCCATCTTTTAGGCCATTTTTGACCCAGAATGAGATACATAAAACTTGTGAAACGAGTAGCTAGAGTATTTGATTACTCCATGTTGCCCGCAGACAGGGATATTCATCAGCTCTATGCCACTCATCAAAACAGACAGAGAAAGCTCAGTCTGATCTCTGTACAAGGTCAAATTCTCATTTGTTTCAAAAGAAAAATAATCTGTCCAAGAAGCAGGGTTAAAAACATGTGTGTATGAAAGTGCAGAACGCATTAAAATCTCACTTGGAGCCTTAATATCCAAGGCAAAGAGCGTAACCCTTACCCACTTTCAAATGGGCAAAGTTAAAAGAGTCTGAACACCACTGAAGCCGTAAGCACTTGCGGTACCCCTCTGTAGTTAAGTGTCCTTCAGAATCTGCGTTTTCCCATGCTGGATCTCAGCATTAATATTCCCTCCACAGAAGTTCCAGGACTGTCAATCATCTTCTGCCAGAGGTGCTGCTCTTCCCCTTGAGAGTCCATCCAGTCAACCTCCTTGCCATTACTTACACCTAGCAATTGCAAAAACATGAGGAATTTTGGCATTTTAGTAAAGAGTCACTTAATATCCTTGTTCACTTGCTCTAACAGTGTATATGAAGACAACACATTCATGTTTGTCTAGGGTGTTATATTGAAAACAGTTGTCCTTTTCTGGTAAAGCACCATTTGTCATTAAACTCTGTTGTGGCACACAGGCAGGGGCACATAAAAATCCTCATCATGGCTCTGTACCACAGGCAACTTTCTCCTAAGGAGTAATGGATACACAACTCTTCCAGATTGCACTACTGTCAGCACAAAGCCTGCTGCTGGGCAAAAGCAGTCTTCTTCTCCCTGGGATGCTAATAAAAGTTTCCAAGATACTTCCGGCTCTTCACTTAGAAGTAGTATAATTAGGCACCAAAGTTCTGTCTCTCACTCAGTGGAAGAAAGAACTGAATTATTTACAAAGGACATGTTGCCTTCTCTCTCTTTCCAGTTTCCCGCAATTCCCATATACTTCTTATTCAATAACATTTCTATCCCTCATATATACATGAATTGCTTGGGAGGCGAGGGAGAGCAGAATTAAATAAAAGTAATCCCCAGTCAGATGGGACCTTACCACTTCCAGTGCTCAAACGGACACCTCCCAGAAAGATATTACTGGAGAGTGACTCCTTGTCCCACACAGTCAATTCGAGGCAGACGTTACGTATATCCCTGGAACTCAAGCCACTAAAAGCAAAGGTATGATTCCACTGGGGGTTCACGCACTTTTTTATTATGGGAGTTTTGTGTTTTGTAGCTTTGTTGTCATCTGGGAGCAGATACCTGAGAGATAAAGGAAAGTCAAGTAGGTAGGTGGGATATAATGTAATATTCACAAATAACTACATTCGTGTAGAGGCTCAAATAGAATTAGGAGCCCATTTTCCCACTAAAATTAAATCAAGCATTTATGAGAAGTGCACATTTTGCATTTGGGTTCCATTTCTTCTCTACATTGATGTCTGTATTACCAACAGAAACTGAACTTAGGTCTCCTTTCCCCAAATCTAGGGTATTGGCCACAAACTTTTATTTCAGTGAAACTAAACAGAGAGAGAATCAAAGTAATGTTGGCTGGATGGGGCCTCTGGAGTCATCTAGTCCAGTCTCCCACTCAGAGCAGGACGGAATGACCCCTAGGTAGAAAAGGAAAAGACTGATAGGGAGTGCTTTGAATTGCCTAATGCCCTAATGAATGCAGAAACAATAAAGCTGTGAAAACTGACAAGCTTTCCACATCTTACCTTTCGTGCAGAATTCCTTTAGTCAAACAACAAACTTAACGCTCGAGTTTCAAAATCAGAGGACTGTACACAATTTCCGTAGTCTGTACCTTCAACTCCTTTAGCAAAGCTAATGGAGTATATGGTTTCACATAAATACTAAAGGGGCAGACATACAGACAAATTACATCACTTGACCTTGATCAGTATTCATCTGCATGCCTGTACTTAACAATAAACATGAGCTAATTCACGCAGCCTAATTTGTTTTTAAAGCAGGCTAAGCTATGTCAAACTAGCTCGCATTAGTCTCAAGCTAATAGTGCAGATCACACAGCTGCAACACCTCAACTGACAGCTGCAGCACCTCAACTGGTTCACAGCAGTCTGATCGTGCATTTGGCCGTGACACAAGAGAGACCAATAATCCAAGGAAAACAGACTCATGTTCCACTGTGCTGAATAATCCACGTCAGCAACAGACATCACTAAATAAAAGATAGTCCAGAGAATAACTGTCAACGCATTGCTACTGCTAATATAAAAAGGCTTTGACTACATTTCTCCTTGAAGTCTGTTGCAAGCTCCACATGGAAACAAGCAGCAGGGCGATCAATCTATTTTGAGTAAAAGGAAATGCCCTCACACGTACCAAGAAAAGAGAGATGGCACAGGAAAACAAATGTCTAGTAAGAACAGGCTCAGTCTTTTTCTATACGAAGTCTCTGAGCTTACCTATAGTTTGACGCACACTACAAGAACAAGATTAACTGTCAGCTCTGCTAAGGAATTAGTGTTAGATTTTTTTCTATGGGAGCCATTTAGTAAACACTTAAAACATTACTAATGAACATAGCTAAGAAACAGCAACTCCGAAAGCCAGCACTGAGAGTGAAAACTGGCAAACAGAAATGTTTTAAGCTATCTGGTATTTCCTCCATTTAGCACCTTAAATGCATAACTTACATTTTTGAAGAATTCAATATAATGATGCACACAGAATTATGTTCATTTTATTCAAACTCATGTCCTGCATCTAGCATTTTCTATCTAGTCTAGGTTTTGAATGTCCAATACAAAATGCGTATTTGTATTTATACACATGCATATAGGCATATAAATGACACAGCTTAAATTTTTCAAAATGATCTATCTTTAAAATCAAATCTCAAAGCTATAACAGCAGAATTTTTAAAAGTCTTCTGTCAAAGAATGTGTCTCATTGTTAACATTCAACAATTAAGACTTATAATATTTCTGTTTAAAGTCCATGACACACCTCCTGGGAACGCTCAGTGTTTAAGTATGTTCCTTGGCACCATACTACATGCTAAGAGCTTTTCTAATAACTATTGGGGGGAAAAAAGTCTACTTTTAGTACAAGGGAGAGAAATTTTTTCTCAATGTATTTAGCTGAATCACAACAGCATTTCCTCACACATATCACTAATTTTCTCTTTCTGCATGTTTCAGGGGACATCCATTAGAAAGAACCTGGACAGAACACGCCAGCTTTCACAGTTGCTCTTCTCTTTGCAATTTTACAAGTAATCCAAACAGACTTGTATCTTCCTGAGAATATGTTCTTATTTAAGAGATAGTCTGGCCATCCCTCCTAGTTAAGGATACGTATTGTTTCAGTTTCCTGGAAATGTAAATGCCACTGTCAGATCAGATGCCATCTCCTGTGTCTGAGTCCTAATTTACAACTTCTTGCCTTCAGGAGTGATGGATAATCACCTACCTCTCTCTCCCGACCGAATCAAAGTGTTTTCTTGTACTAAACATTAACATTCTGTAATAACCTGCATATTAATACACTGCATATAAATGTGTGAATGGAATAAGTGATAATGAATAACATACTAGTTCTTGACTGAGTCCAGCTATGGTGATATTTAACCATTGGGACCACTGATACCTCACTGCCCTTATCCCATAACATCCTTCTTTTCAGCATACCATTCCAAGGTGCCAGTTGCATTTCAGGATTGATAAGCAATACACACATATACACATGTACCGAAAAAAGTAGGGTGAGCCAAAATATGATACAGTGCAACAATTAAAAAATGAGAGGGGAAAAAAAAAAGCACACACCCTTTCACAAAAGTGTCAGATGTGCCTCCTGATTTTACCGCTGTTAAATTCTTAGCTTCTTTGATGAGGACTTCTAATATACCTCCAGATGGCAGGTGAGAGTCTCTCTTTTTTCCTTTTTTAAAGCTCTTCTTTCCTACATACAAAACAACGTAGCAACATCATCACCAAAAATTATATACTGCAAAACTGATTTGAAATGCAAATCTTTTTGGCTAGATTCTTTCACTCACTTCCTTGAATTGAATTTGAAAAGTACTTCTTATGAGCAGATCCTAGGGTGGAGAAATAGTAAGGTGGGGTGGGAATTCACTTCATATTTGATAAAGAACTTGGCCATGCAACTTGCTAGTCCGTGCCGGACACAACAGAGTGCCCTATTTGAAGTCCTTTTCAAATACAAGCATTTGTGGATTACTACGCTGAACAGAAAGAACTGTCATGTCCTGTAAATTCTACCTTATTTTCAGCATTCACTTCCTCCACAGATGCTAAGGCACCACATGCAAGGTGCAAATCCTCTGTCCCAAAGCTTAAAATACAAAACATATGCATGTGCTCCTTTTAGTAAGGATGCACTGCTCCTTGCAGACCATGAGAAAGGACATATCACTCACTGACACGTTTCTGCATTTGAACAGCAGCATGAGAACATGTGTACTCGCTGCTGCTGTGGATTTTAAGAGGCTTATCAGCAGGGATCATACATTGATTAGTGATGAAAACATCAGAAAAAAGATCAGGAGTGATGTTAAAGTGTTATTAATTCAAAAAAATGCTGTAGTGTACTGGATTTTTCAGATAACAATTAGCTTTTAACAGGGAACACCTGGGAATTTACTGCTAGCAAAGGGAATGTCACTTGCTAAAAAAAAATAAAAAATAAAAAATCTAATACACCTATCAAATCCCAATATGAAAAAGTAATACAGTGACTAAGAATGAACTCCTCTTGGTCTACCTGCCTCTGGCACATCCATGTAGAGAGGCTCAGTTAACTGATGACTATTCTAAATGTTCTACAATGCAAACAGTAAGTAATTTTATTATCCCTTGTTCATTGCTGATGAAAATAATGGCTTACCCAAAACAATTCAAATAATATTTTACAGGACTGAATTACAGGAGAAATATGGCAAAACTGAGCAGAAATAAAGCAATGTGAAAAAGAGTGAAAACAAGGAGATAGGTAAGCTTAAGGACAATTACGCAAGAGGAAGTTTATTACTCTATGAGAAGTCTATTACTTTGATCAGCTACACACCGTATATAACTAGCTGAACAATGACCAAACAGACTAGCATTCAGAAGATTTCTTTATATGTGGCTGTCCTAAATCATATTACGGACTACCTGAACTTTTTTTAGTTAGATCACAGCTATGCATCAAGACCCGGCTGTACACACTCATCTCCCCTTCCTTCTCCTTAAGTTTTATGTAAGAGAAGGGAACAGAAGTAGGAAAACACACACAGATTGAAATTTCCAGATAAAGGCAACTAATACATTTAAGTACGTTTTCAATCTTCTCTAATTCCGTTATTTAGATCTATGTGAGGATTTCTAATACTCAGAGGGATGTTATCATATGCTGCCATCAATGTTCGATTTACCTTGAAACTGCCCTAGAGGAAGCATTAGGTTCCTCTCTGGGGGAATGTAACGTAAAACAACTGTCAGTTCTCCTTTATACTGAAGCCCAACATCTGTTGCAACCTCCATCTGACAGAAAAAAGAAAAACAGAAATCCATTTAAGCACAACCATCTACCTCTTCCATCACATTTTATTTCATTGTACCAATAAGTTGTTATAAATGCTTCTTAAACAGGTCAAGACATACCACACCACTTTCAGATTAGACGTTCCAGATGGAATACAATCACATTTTAGAAAATGATATGAATTATGGAATGCAAGATCTCAGAAGAACAAAGTCATATGGCATTAGACACTGTTTGGTGAACATACACACAAGAGAGAGATACCTAGCATGAAGGAGTGAGAAAAAAACTCACAGCAAACAAATTTATTCCTGGAGATATAAACTGTAGCTAATTTAAGATGACATTCTGCTGCCTTTATTTACATCAATTAGTATTTTGAGCCCTTGCTAGTTTCACATATTTTACAAGAGTCACTCTTGGAATGGAGGTGCAGGGAACTGGGGGTAAACTAGAAAAGATTCTTGAAAACGAATGTTACTCCCAGTGTCCTTCTCCTTTCCTACACAGACATTATTTCTGCATCTTCTTGTTTTATAAACGTCTGAATCCTGCCCAGAAAGAATGCAGTAAGTACTCTTCAGAGCATCTCTGTTAAAAGAATATTAGGCTGTCACTGATGTATGCTGAACTTCTATTTATACTGTAAGAAGTTAGAAACTAAATTTTAAAAACAATAGATGCAACACAGAGAAAATGATATGACAGTGAAAATAAAATGCAGTGGAAAATAAATCCCATACAATTACAGTAGAGATTCAGGACTAGGAAAAACTAAGCCTAACCTTGATCAATGATGTCCACTAATGGAGGTGAGATTACTCATATGGTTCATGTTTCTGTACACATTTTAGCACTTAGGCTTGGGTGTAAACACACAAATCTTCCTGACCCCTCACAGATAGAGAACGTGTATAAAGAGAGTGCCCTGGAATGCTGCGAGAGACGCATCAAGGTACCAAACAAGCATTCAAGGAACTACATTTGAAATAACACCTCTGATTAGTGATAGTGTTTCTCTGAAATGGGTTCAACTTGCTTCCTGTCTCCCCAACAAGGTCAAAATTCTATTATCAAGAGAAAACAGAATGAACGAAAAGTAAACTCAGAAATACATACGGCACAGAGTCAGCACTGCCTTTATATCATAGACTGAAGGCTAAAGCACTAGCCACGTTCAGCGCGGTTAAGTCTTATCTGTTCATAACCTGAGATGGGACTGGGAACAAAGGGATTTTACTGATAGCAGTATGGTCCTTTTGTGACCTAGAGGCACTTTTACAACAACATAATACAGTCCTGCCTCCAGCAGTGTCTGGTGCCTGTTGCTACAGTAAAGGACAAAAGAAAACCTGCAGTAAATGGCTGTGGAATAACTTGTGCAACAGAAAACCATCATCTAAATCTTGCCTGTCAGGCAGATCATCCACAGTCTAAATTATGTAGGTTAGCATCAAATTTCCCATAAAGGTGGCAAGGATTCTGCTTTACTGCTGGGCACATAGTGGTACAGGTTCATACTTCAGGAACAATTTGCCAACCCTCCCCTGCCAAAACCACACATAACATGGCTTTAGGCTTTGCCTTCCTCTTCAACTACAAAACTATTTTTTCTTCCTTTTCGGATTTAACCACACTCCTCTTCATAAAAGACCATTCAATGCTCACAGAAGAAACAGGTCTTAAAATCTCCAAGCTTTTCCCTAAAGCAGCTAAACACATAGAACAAATAAAGATCTGCAATAGAGTCCCGCAAATGTTTCACTGACATTTCTTTCAGAATGGGGCAGTTCAAATGGGAGAAACACATGCAACTTGCATGGGTATTAACCTGCACATTTTTAACTTCAAAATGCAGTAATTTATCAGTCACAAAAAATGTTTGCTGATCAACAACCCTAGCAGCACTTTAAGTTTAGAAACGTTATTTGTAACAACTTAGGAGACAGACAAGAGCCAGTCTGTATTTGTTTTCCTTGGTAAGAAAGAACAAGTTTAAAAGTCTTTTAAGAACCCGTTTTAAAGTGGGTTTGGAAATAATCAGACTATACCTTCCAACTGGAATGGCTGAAATGCTTAGCACCTCCTTACTTTTTTCCAGAGCAACAGTGCTTCACGATATTCTTTTTTTTTTTTTGTTAGGAGTAAAAAAAAGACATCCGCCCCCACCCCCAAGATTGAAATGAAACAACAAAGAGATTCCTGCCTTAATAAGAAGCCCCACTTCATACTAACATCGCACACAAACTGTATGTAAAACAAATATAAAATGTGTGTCTTACTATTGCAATGGTCAATGGTAAGTAACAGCAGCAGTGACACCAGCCAGTGCTACTACAGAAATGTAGTGGAGAATTCTACTCCAAAAGCTGACCCCCAAAAAGCATATTACAGAATCACAGAATGGCCAACGTTGGAAGGGACCTCTGGAGATCATCTAGTCCAACCCCCCTGCTCAAGCAGGGACCTCTAGAGCATATTGCCCAGGATCACATCCAGACGGGTTTTGAATATCTCCAGCGAAGGAGACTCCTCTACCTCTCCGGGCAACCTGTCCCAGTGCTCTGTCACCCTCACAGTGAAGAAGTTTTTCCTCAGGTTCAGATGGAATTGCCTGTGGTTCAGTTTGTGCCCGTTGCCTCTTGTCCTGTCGCTGGGCACCACGGAGAAGAGACTGGCCTCATCCTCTTGACACCCTCCCTTCAGATACTTATACACGTTGATGAGATCGCCTCTCAGTCTTCTCTTCTCCAGGCTGAACAGGCCCAGCTCTCGCAGCCTTTCTTCAGAGGAGAGAGGCTCCAGTGCCCTCATCATCTTTGTAGCCCTCCGCTGGACTCTCTCCAGTAGTGCCATGTCTCTCTTGGACTGGGGAGCCCAGAACTGGACACAGTACTCCAGATGTGGTGGCCTCCCCAGGGCTGAGTAGAGGGGCAGGATCACCTCCCTCCACCTGCTGGCAACACCCTGCCTCATGCACCCCAGGATACCACTGGCCCTCCTGGCCACAAGGGCACACTGCTGGCTCATGTTTAACTTGTTGTCCACCAGCACTCCCAGGTCCTTCTCCGCAGAGCTGCTTTCCAGCAGGTCAGCCCCCAGCCTGTCCTGGTGCATGGGGTTATTCCTCCCCGGGGGCAGCACCCTGCACTTGCCTTTGTTGAACTTCAGGAGGTTCCTCTCCGCCCACCTCTCCAGCCTGTCCAGGTCCCTCTGAATGGCAGCACAACCCTCTGGTTTAGCAGCATCAGCAAACTTGCTGAGGAGAGTGCACTCTGTCCCTTCCTCCAGGTCATCGATGAATACATTGAACAAGACTGGACCCAGGACTGACCCCTGGGGGACACCGCTAGCCACAGGCCTCCAACTAGACTCTGCACCACTGACCACAACCCTCTGAGCTCGGCCATCCAGCCAGTTCTCAATCCACCTCGCTGTCCAGTCATCCAACCCACACTTCCTGAGCTTACCTAGGAGGATGTGATGGGAGACAGTGTCAAAAGCCTTGCTGAAGTCCAGGCAGACAACAGCCACTGCTCTCCCCTCCTCTACCCAGGCAGTCATTCCATCAGAGAAGGCTATCAGGTTGGTCAAGCATGGTTTCCCTTTGGTGAATCCATGCTGACAGGAACTCCTGATCACCTTCTTGTCCTCCAGATGCTTAGTGATGACCTCCAGGAGGAGCTGTTCCATCACCTTTCCAGGGACGGAGGTGAGGCTGACATGAAGCATATCACCATGAAGCAAGTCTGATGGGAGTTTTCCAAATGGGCGATATGGCTTGAAAGAACGATGGTATAATCCTTATCTGGATACAGTGCTGACTGTGTTTACCGTCATTAGCCACTTTCTCTTCCTGGTAACTCATGTCGTTTTTGGACCACGAGGCAAGAGCTGGTCACCCTCACTAACAAGGCTGACCTGGCAAACAGGAAACGTTCTTTCTTGCCATCTCTAAAATGTGAGGGGTGGGAGTCTTAAAGAAGGGACTGGTTTTCATGTGTATCTTCTGGCAAATTATTTACTGAAGTATAAGTTTGGGACAGTTTAGACTAGAAATACGCTCCACAAAGTGCCATATCTGGAAATTATACAGCAATCAGTTCCATTGAGGGAAGATGCAAATCAAATACTCCCTCCTACAACCCAAAACATAACGCTATTCCCTTACAGGTAATGAACACAGAGCAAACGAGTCATCTGAGTCTATCTCCACCACACCTGTAGTACAATCTTGGTTTCTTCTGCAACACGAAAAATACACTTTCTGAAACAGCAATCTAAACCATTGCATTCCTGGGGATTCTGGCCGCTATAGCACCCAGCAGCTCAGAAGCCTTTAATCCTCAAGTTTACAATAGCTCTTTGAATCTCTTCCAGAAATAAACACTGGCCTTTGTCAAAGCAGTGGGTGCCCTAACTGCCAGAAGTCATCATATCCTTAGCTAAGTATAATGCAAGACCTACTTCACAGAGCAACTGCTTTGCATGCTAAGCAGCCTTATCTAGTGCCTTCCCAGTCAAGATGAATAAGAGATTAACAAGAAACTTTGTTACAGCTGAAAAGTGTGAAGTCCTTTGAAATGAAACAAAAAAGGCCTATTTCTTTACTAGACTGTTAGGGGTCAGACAGGAGGGAGCACTAGTAAAGTTCTCTGTTTCATGTGCCACTTTCTAAAAGAATAATTTTCTTTCTTAGGTGATTTTCCACAGTAATTTATTATGAGGCAGATGTATACTTTATTTAAAAGGTGCTTTTTAAAGCAGCCATTCACATGTAAAGTCTTCATGAAGACTTTAAAAGCAGTATGTTTTGACTGAATAAAGAACAAATATTCTTTTTATTGCTATATTGGACAATCATAAAGTCACCATTTTATAAACCTGCTCCAAAGGAAAAATAACTAAGCCTCATGAAATTTGCTTCACTGCAGTTCCACTGGCCCCTGGAAATCCTTACCTTGGGCTGGAGCACAAACCACTCATCACCCTGATTATCAAAGTTCCAGGAATCAAATGGAATTTCCACCTCCCCAAGGAAGCTGTTGCGTCCAAACCTGTCATAGTGCCAGACAGAAAGCTGTAGGGTCCTGGTTTCTAGCTGCGTATGACTGATGACATACTACCAAGAGAAAAACAGAAAACGGACCTCTCAGAACAAGCATAAATAAGTTTCCACAGAGTCTTTTACAGCTATAGCTAAATTTCACAAAGCCCACAGCAGCTAATAAAGGATGCATGAAGGAGAGATTTGTTTTCTTTACAAAGATTGCTCTGGCTACAAAGCTCAAACAAAACTGCTAACTATAACTGTTTTCTTTGCAGTCTCCATCCACTGGTAATTAATGCTACTATTGTTATTGTGTCTTTTCTGTATTATTCACAGGGCATTTATTGCTATAAAGGAAGTCATGACGCTTAAAACTATCCTCCTATTTATTTGTTACAGTTTATATACAAGAAACAGATTAACATAAAAGTTTAGTTTGTAAGATGGAAACCACTAGTCCTGTCATCCCTAAAGAGAGTCTACTGTGCACTACTTTCCAGAAGCAGTGCCCTCCTTTCCTCTTCAGCTGTACCCTAGTAACTTTTCAGAAGCCTGCCTTGTTCTGAAAACTATTAAAACCTGTGTCTGCAGTGTTCACCAAAAGCTTAAAAGTTACTAAAAATTCCTCTTAAGAAATATTTTATTCTAGAAAATACACAGAAAATTATAAACATCTGGAATTCTAGCTTTGTATGCCCTCCTTGTAGTAAAAGGCCTATTAATTCCATGAAATTCACCCTGCTCTTAATGTTAGCTGAGGAGATACAGATGTCTTATTTTTTGCATCAGGGACAACGTCTGGACACAGACATATATCTTCCAGAAGCTGACATAGTCAAGTCAGTTGGCTTCCCACACAAGTAGGCCATTTTATATATAGATATGTCTAAGATGCTTAATCCTAGATGCCAACGGTTACAGACTGAGAACTGTGATATTTAGCCACAAAGGAATACAAATCAGAGAGGAAAGGTTTTTCACTGTTCTTTTTAACTCTAGTAACAGTGGAGACAAATAAATTCAATTCTTGCTCATCTACCAATAATTGAAGTAAGCCCTCTTTGTCACAATTTGCATTTTTAGCAAGTTGCAAGGTCTTATCTTCAAAGAGTTCCATACTAGCAAACATGTTTAATATTAAGTATGTTTCTTGCTAATTAGAGGCTAAGACATTTTCTTCCCAGTTCAGACAAGTCTTAACTTTACTACAAGGCCTTTACAAAGCCTTATACACAGCTATACAAGAGGCTCTCTCCTGGCAAGCTGTTTGGGCAGACCAAGTATGTGCAAGTCTGTAAAACGATTTTATAGCCAGGTTAGGCCAAGTATACTGGCCAGGGAACATCTGTTAGTCTCTATTATAAGAAACGTGTTAAAACATTACTGAAATCATTAAAAAAAAAAGTTTCAAGAAGAACTAGAAAGAGTTTTTTGTTTCATACCAGCTGGTTGCAATGATGCTTGTCAATAGACAGGCAGCAGAACCACCAGCAGCCTTGCAGTCCAGGTGCTAGAGAGGCAGTGAGCTGGCCATTCAGAAACTCTACCATTCTGACCTGCACCCCAGAGCCAAAGAGGTAAATAAGCTGCTCCTGAGGAGCATAAAATAGTTCAGCCTCTGTAGGCTGGACTCAGGTGAGAGGTAAAGAAGCGAAGAAGGTGGGCACCCTGTTCCACCAGCCCTCAAGGAAGTCATGTCATCGCTCTCTTTTGCAACAGAAAAGTGAACATGACTACAGCTTTTCAGGAAGGCAGCTAGTGAAGCTATTGTTGATATTTTCCTGACAAAGTCAGTTCTGCTTTAGAAAAAAAAAAATTAAAAAACTTTCCTAGAGAAATTTAAATTTTACTATAAAAGGGTATCGTCTCTTAAAAATAACTGAGATGGGAAGTTCTAAGCCAGCTCTCTTTCAGCATCATTTAGTAGCTTAGATAAGGTTTGAAGAGTCTTTAAGGTGCTTTTAACAACTCTGAGTTTAGGTTAGATGGGGGAACATCAACAGTTCTAGAAGAGATTTGGGGAAACCAATAGAAGTTTTTCCTGTAAAGGGAAGAAGCAAACAAAGATGCTTCCTCAATGCTGAAAGCCAGAAATTACAGCTCACAGGACTACTACAAGGTTTTGTTTTAATACTTTCCTTTTGAGGCATATTTTCCAAACTCTAATCCCCATACTGGAACATGTGCTAGAAAATGTCTATAAGCATAAGGAGAACATTCATCACAGCTTATGAGAGAGACACTGTTCTTACCTTGAGCATTTCATTAAACTCTGGATTGGTGCTGTTACTTTTAATTTTGGTCTTGCGTTTACTTTGGCGGGACTTATCAGGCAAAAGGTATGCTTTGACATAGCTGCAGATCAAGAATTAAGCTATTAGTAAGGAATAAAAACAACCAATTTGAGCTAGGATCTGCCAATGCTGGATCAGAAACATAAATGAGTAAATTAATTGTAGCAGACTAATCCATACACATCTAAAACAGACAATGTGTGAAAGAGGCAAAGGTATGGTCTTTATCTACAAACATATAGTCACGTTATGCTGTTAGGATCAAAATAACTAAAAGGACAGAGCTGAATTAATATACTCATCCTCAAAAACGTGGAAAGCTTTCCTACCACCCCTTCTGATATTTGATTACTGACTGGATACACACGCCAACATGGCAATGAAAATACAAGAGAATGAAAAACTGCATACATTACATACCTGTAGCAATAGACATTATTAGAGACATTGATCATTACTTCCTGATATAGGAGGGAATTTACATGTTATACTGAAAAATATAATGAGAAGCTCTCAAAAGACTCAGTATTTGCAAAGTGGATCTATGGATGCATGAAATTGAATGCAAACTCCCTCCATCCATCCAAAACATCATCTGTCTCATATACTTTAGTTTTCGTTCTAGACGACATTAACTCAGTCTTCCTGCTCGTTTGTATTTTTTGCCCTTCTGCAGAGACTGCTAGCAGAGAGGTTGATAAATAAGCACCTTTATAGTTTCCCTCAATGTTGCCCTAAGAAACATGCAGAAAATACATTTCCCACCATGAATCCAAAAATAACCATCATCAAAGTGCTGACTTGTAGCAACTTGATCCTGTGAGAGTTCTCAGGCTTGAAACCTCACCACCAGCCTCCATCACTGCTGCTCTATAGGAAGGCAGCTCTGCAATGCAGCAGAGGGCACCCCTCGCAGAATCTAGAAAGAAATAACTCTGCGTGCTTACGGATCTGTCCTTTGCTTCTTCTCATCTGCGATGGCCAGGTTTCTGCAACTTTTCACCAGGATGTTGAGAGCACCTGTTTTGTAGCTGTAGTTGATGTGAAGAAGGATTTCACCACTGACCTTCACGTTGCCATAGTCACCAGTTTCACTATATACACTCAGCATGCTGTTAATGCTAGTCTGGGGTCGGGGTGGGGGGAAAGAAAAGGACTTAGAAGCTTAAACAAATTATTCTTTTCCTGAATCTGCTTTTTCATACAACCACAACCCTGCAATGCTGTGACACTTGTTAGGACTTGCTATGAAAACAGATATACCAAAGAATGGAAATACCATTTGCTTCTATTTGATGTAAAAGGGAATAAAAAATATACTTAATCATAGCTTAAACATCTAGAGAGTCTATCTTTTTTTTACATGCAGGAGTCAAACCTATTTGTAAAGATGGCTAAATCTATATCACAATCATCAAATTCAAGCATAAACTGAAGAACAGACAGGCTACATAAGTTATAGGTTCACATAACAAGTTCCAAGGAGCTAAAAAACACCTCTCTGGTTCAGCTGTCCCCCTAATTGTTACTGCATCTTGTAAAACAACTGCTGGCGGAGCCATGAGAAAAAGTTGTAAAGACGTTTCCAATAATGAAGACGATACAACACCAGGTTTGGCTAAAGTGACACCAACCTCTCAAGGGTATTTCTAACAGAACGAGCAAAATGCAATAGTCGTCCTTTCTGTAATTTTCCTAAGGCCAAAACAGTTCAGCAAAAATGCCACATAATTTACCACTGCAATGTAATATCAGCCCCAATACTTTTTTTTTTTTTCAGTCATGCACTGCAGAATATTGCTATGAGGGTTTCCTTTTCCAAAAGCTTACAACTAGTAAAGAATTAAATATTTCAAGAGAGAATCAGAGCAGTATGCCCACTACCAGAACCAAAGGCTTTCCAGAAGCCTGGGGCACATTTTCTGTTGAGTCATTGAGCATGACTGCTACAACACATGCGAGTATATAAACCCTATCAATTTTGATCCTTGCAAAACACATAGATGCAGTCTTCAACACAAAGGGAGAAAGAGAGAAATCACAGAAGATAAGCAGAGGATTCAGGAGAACTCACAGTATCACCATCTGCCTCAGGCACATTTAAGTGGGTCCATTTTCTATCAGAGCCTTCTGGGAAGTTCTTTAAAAAGGCAGTGCAAAAGGTCAAGAGAGAAGAGCATTAGACAGCTGAAATAAGAATGAATACGTGCAGTGATAAAGCTTTACTCATACAGACAGGTAAAGACACTTTGCACTGCAAAGCCACAGTGAGAAAGAAAGAAAAAGGTATCACCGTATCAGAGAAATGGTAATTTTTTTCCTTATACTTCAGGTATTGCAGGATACTTGGTTCAAGGTAATTAACAAATGGAGATGAAGTATCTGCTGTACCAAAATAAACAAACTACATTTTAGAATACTGATTCAGTAGATTCCGATTTGTACTGGATTGTATTTGGATTTGTCCTCATCTATGTGTGCATGAACTCAGTTCCCACTTAAGCTAGTCTAAAGCTAAGTTTTCATGTATTTCCAGAATTGGGGCCTTGGTAAGAAATTTCAATTTATCCGGGGAATTTGTAAAGGAACATGTAAAAAAAAAATACAGATGTTTAAATACGCTAATTGTGAGGAAAAAATACAGTATCAGAATAGGGGGGAACAATTTTTCCCCTCTCCGCTTATTAGAGCGATATCTGGAAATCTCATCAATGAGCTCACAGACAACTACATCTTGAGCTATATCCTTCCCTATCAGCTACAGGGAGGAGGGAATAATACAGTCAAGGGGAAGAACCCCACAAAAAGATTAGTCTATGACAAAACTCAGCTTCCCAAGCATCTTGCCTAAGGGCCCTGCAGCAAACAAAGCTGGACTGATAAGCGGGTCTGTGTCAATATAGTAAACAACAACAGACACTAAAAACAGAGCAAGCAGTAATTCTTTTAAAAAGAAATTATCCCCAAAGTTCATTTTATACCTCATGGACGAATAACAAAAGCAAAAAGGGTTTTGTTTGCATTTCAGCACAGTTGCTTTTCAGCTGGGCTTCTCTGTGACTGTAACTTTCGATTCCAAAAGGGGCAAAAAGAAAAGAAAGAAAGGCTTGTGTATTACCTTGACAATTGTACAATTGGCTAAGATGCCATTAACAGCACTGGTTTACTTCACTGCATAATTAGCAATACACACTGACAAACCTATCTTATTTCCACCTATTCTTAACATACCTCAAGCTAAAGTTCAGCCTTTAATATTTATGACTTTCCACCAATAGCATACATTAAAAAGGTATTCTTAAACAGCATTAGTGAATTTAATGGTCCAGTATGCGCTATAAAATGCATCAGTTATCCCTGTAACACAAAAATAACTTGCATGGCAACCTCAGAAAACCCACAAGGTTACATTAACATGGGGAGAAAAAAAAAAAAAAAAAAGTCCTAAACAGATGACCTCTGACCTTAGAATTTATGCAAATACAATTTCTGAATTGCTTACAAACCACAAACTAATAACATAGTTTTAGCAAAAGTGTTGAACCTACTGGACTTCCTTCCCCACAGACTCTGCTCTGTGGGATTTGCACTGGACGTTAAATATGCTAACTTCTCTGTACTTCGAAAATCTACTCAATGTCGAGTTTCGTAAGTAGTAAACAAACACTGCATGCAGAGGGTGCTGAGCTTTATTCTAGTACACTGCTAAGGATTACATTTGCTTTGCGTCATATCTTGTTGCTCCAGTAAGGCACCGGAACAATTTAGTCTTACTGATGTGATGTGTCTTGACAACAACATATTAATGTGTTTAGGAGATAAACCAATGAAGGGTGAAGGGAAAACTAAATATACAGTTCACATACTAGCTTCAGAAAACGGAGGCAAACATACTGTAATGCTAAGATACAGTTCCTGTTCAATGTCACTTGGCATTTACACTTTTGCTCACACATGCTCTAGTAGTTTTCAAGTTATCTTTAACGTCTGAGATATTTCTTCTGTTACCTCAAATGCTCATTCTCCAAGGACCCATACTGTAATATAAATTCTCATATTTGTTGAAAAAAATATTTGATTAGAGCCTCCTGTTCATTAATAACATTTTTTCACAACGTGACATAATTGAACGCAGTTATTTCATGGACAAGCAAACTAAATGAAAAGAACCTGGGCAATGTAGAAGGCTCAAATGCACAGAACAAGAAGAGTAAAAGCAAAAAGAAGAGAGATGGCAAATGTTACTCCCTCATAGCATGCAGCTAAAGGAAGTCAAAAAAAACCCTTTAAAACTGATCTGCTCCAGCAGTGAGAAGTAGCTTACCATTCAAAACTTCTCCATTAATGTAGCATGCAGTGACATTAAAAATCTTGTCAGGGTGAATACAAAGAAAAGAGAAGCAATGAGATGTGAGATTATCTCAGACCTACAAGAGTGGAAAAGCAGCACTTTGCTTAGGAGAAAGGTCAAAATCTATATAAAAAAGACAAAACCAGTGCAGAGAGCACAGACAGAACATTGACTAAAGTATTCAAAAAGAAGGCTCTCTAAAAACAATGCCTCAATTAGTGGGCTAAATGGCAAAAGCACTTAAACACCTGCAACTCACATCAATATCCAGAGAAAAGACAATTCTGTCTATAAAATCCACGAGACCAAGCAAGTGTTGGAGACAATGAGTCATACTCAACCTTAGTTAACTGGATATAATTAAACCAATGCCAAACAAGTTATATTTGCTCAGGTCTGATCTGGCGTGAAGTGCCATACATCTCTGTTGTGTCTGCTTTTGTGAATTACACAAATTAGAATGGAAAGGGTCTGGACATGGCCAGACCTAAGACACCAAAAGGCTGTACAACAGCAATTTTCTCAGCCCCTTCTCCCCAAGTAAGCAAAGCTCTGGTTAACACATCAGGCTCTTTGGCACTGAGAACTTAAACGAGCAATCTCTGCAACCACTGGATGATCACATGGCAGTCGCATGAGACTCGAGCATCTGATTTACAGCATATAGTTTACGAGCGTCAAAAGAAATGGAAGGGTGTAGCAAATAAATATACTACAATTCTTGCAGAAAGTAGAAAAGCTGCCACCAAACAAGATCCTCAAATATCTCCCTCCTCACCGCAGAGAGAAATAATTTTTCCAGTGTGGATGGCATACCAATCGTATCATGGAGAATGGAAGAAGTTGGTCTGGGGCAAGGACAATGATTTCACAGAAGTGGTATGTACACAAACACACAGAAGAGTACTTGTGTCCCAAGAACATGAAAGAGGTGCCTAGATTTCACCACGGACACCACCTACTCCTAACACTCAAAAAGTGGAATGAGATGGAAGACCCCACTGCATTCTATTCTCTTTTTTCCAAGCAAATTAAGATTAACTACACCTCTGCAAAGCTGAGCAGTCACATACTGCCAAACCTGTGGTTTGCTTTCTCCACATATCAAGTTGGTAATACCTGAGGGTGTCGGGAAATCTGCTGCAAAATGGCTCTCTCTTTCAGCATGTACTGCAGAGAACAGCACTTTAGCTTTGCATAGCATTAAAAATATAAAAGAAAAACTATCAAAAGTGAGGGTTCTTTTAAACAGCAGGATAAAGAAAGATTTGTTTTAAATTGTTAGAACTACTTGCAACAACGTTGCTATGTGGTATGATATTAAACGCCATTTTGGAGAAGGAACCGGCTTACGTGGAAGGAAAAACATATATTTCCTACTCAAGATCTTACCGTTGATAATCCACTAATCATATGTCCATGTTTCTTTGAATAACGAGAGGCCACTATGTCATCAATATCTTCTTCCGTCTCACCCAGATAATCCTAAATGACAAAGAAACCATCATTTTAGTCGCTGTGTTCTACTTGGTATTGGGCCAGCCTCTGTCCCTGAGTTTTGTTCCATTTATTTTCCACTTCAGGAAGACTGTGCAGGATGCATTGAAAATTCACATCTCTAGAGGAATTTTGATCTACACTTTCCACATCGTTGCACAGGCACGAAACAGGAAGAGAGGTTGTCAGGGTTTCAGGTTTCAGTTGCTTGAGAACTGCAAAAATTTGACACACACACTTCATGTCTTAATCTGGAGTCATATAACTTTGCATGATCAAGAACTGTTCACATAAATAAAATCAACACCCATGCCTACCTACAACCCCATGCGAAATACTTTATCTACTTACAAATATGTCCGTTCAGGAATTTAAGTTTAAGGGATATGGTCAGAATTTTTCAGATCTCAACTAAAGAAGTCACTGAATTAAGCTCTGAATAGCAGTCAGTGGTCTGAGGATCACTGATACTAGTTTAGCAGAAGTCATCTGTCATTAGCCAGAAGCCACCACCATTAGATGGTGGACAATTAGATGGTTACAATCCACTTTCTAAGGGACATATTTTTACAATCCAGTTTTATGAGTATTATCCACATTCATGTCACTCATACTCATGCATATACAAATAAACAAGCATGCACATACAATTAGTATTATGCTTGCACCCTTTCACTTTGTCACTGGTGACAGATGACAATTCTATGAGCACAATCACAGACACTGAACTACTTTCTAATAGGCAGTGCTGAAAGCCCAATGTTATTGTCAAACCACATGGGAAGAAACTTTTCTTGCCATCATACATGCAGAACGTATTTGAGGGGTAAGCAGAAAGAAAGAGTTTTCACAAAATTTGATCTGTACGTTTTCAAAATGATTAAAATGCCTGCATTATTTCAATAAAAAAACAACCTGGAGACAATAAGTACTTGACAAGTTCATATATATGCTCAAACTTCAGTGAGCAACTCTTAAACACCTTCAGCTCATATACTGAAAAAAAATCATTTTCATTTTTTGAATACAACAAGGTAATAAAGTAATACTTAACAAGAAACTTAAAATCTTACTGATAGTCCTTAGAGGACTGCTATCTTTAAATAACAATTACAGAAAAAAATCCAGGCAACTATCACCCTACAAAAGTAGCTTGGAAATTTCAGTGGTTTCCTCAAACTTTATGGCAGAAATTTTGAAAGACTCTAATTTAGTTTTAATGGAAGTCAAATATTCAAATCCCTTATACAGCTGCTTTGCAGCTGTAAAAATTCCATGTGATGACCTACCTCACTCTCTCCTGCTCACTTACCCTCACTCTTTCAAACTAAACAGAGATTTACTGTAGTGAAACTAAGGAGTCTCATAGGTTTCTATGCCAATCATAAAAAAAACAGAACAGAGAAGAAATGCTGCTGGAGATTTGAACAGTCAAAGTTTACGTAAAGATCTTCAGAACATTTATTATTAGTATGCATAGAAACCAGCTGTTATTTCTCTTCTCCGTTGTTCCAGTGACTGAACCAAAAGAAAACCATCTGAAAGTGACGCAAAATTGTCTATTACTACTTTCCAATTGTAATTGTGCATATTTAACGTTGTGCAAAGGGAAATCAGGATAAGCTATCACTCCAGTTGGGATCCAATTTATATACTGTTGCAAGAATTCCTCTTCTCTTCATGTTTTTACAATAAGCCTCCTCTGTTGGTCTCTTTCTTTTCTGTTTTTTTCAGGGCACTGTTACCATCTCACAGAAATAAAGAAAAAGTGATATGTATTTTATACTATAAGGAAAGAATCCATAGAGTCCCAGGTATTATATAGCAAACTATTTCAGGGAGAGAGACAGATAGACAGAAGTGGATCATTAAAAAGTAGAAAAAAAAAAACAAAAAACACCTAAAGAAAAAAATCCTGCCCTTCACTTCTACTCTCACTCAGAATCCAGCTGAAGATTACAAGTTAGCCCAGGAACACACACATCTTTTTCCTGACAATATGAGAATTTAATTGAAGAAGCAATTCTGGTAACACAGCCCAAACTCTTTCCTTTACACTATTATATACATACATGTGGTCTTTAAAATAACAAATGATACATGTGAGTCTCTGAGTAAATAAATATAGAACAAAAAGAAAGGTAACATATTCAAACTGGTGTTTCAGCTTCAGTCAAATACTAGCAGCATTTCATAGAGAGTTCTAAGGACAGATGAGCACCGACTTTTATCTGCAAGCAGGTATACAAAACTAAAACAATGGCTAATACTTAGCCTAAGCTCTTAATTCATTTTATACTACAACGATTATGTTTCTCAGGAGGTGTTATAGAACTGCAACCACATAATTGGTTAGTGTTGCTTATTAAAGTTAGAACTGGTAGGACATTAATCTCATGGTCTCTCGTGGGGGTTATAAAATGCACATTATCCAATTACTTCTAATAAAGCTATTGTGCATGTGATGAACGCTTTTTGGTCAGGAATTCAACATAAATCTCTCTAGAGGAGGTGTTCACACTGGAACCCAACACTAGATTTAACTGGTTACCAATACTCCTTGATAAATACAGTCCACAGTGTATAGGTTTTTTGCGGGGGGGGCACTAGAAAGAGCAATGCAAGTTAAGCAATGAAAACATTCATTAAATTATCCAGCTCATCTCCCAGTACGTGTAAGGTGTTTCCTGACAGAGCTGGGGGCAAAGCAGCTGAAAGCCTTTTCATACCTTTTTAACAACAAATTCCAGCTATTTGCTTATCCTATTCACACGTGGTATCTACCACCTCACTGCTGTCAGCTCCCATCACCCAGGAGCAGGAGATCGAAGAACCCCAGCTATCTCCACCAGCTGCCCCGGAGAACGGAGACTGTAACTTTTCTCAGGCTGAAGAAGCTGTTGTTATTTTCATCAGACATCCTTCTTTTTGCCTCTTGCATCAAGCACCAAAGAAGCTAAACTCCAGCAACACTATTATCCCTATCTCAAACAACTGCATCCATAGCGAATCTAAGGCAAGACTCTGGAGGACTCCTGTGAGTCAAACTACCCTAAAAAACACAATAATGCTAAAGCTGATAAATGCAATTCAATTGATTTCCTAAGAGCGAGAAATGTGGGTAGAATGAGCGCTCTATGAACCCTGTTCTGAAGGAAGTTTAAAGAGACATTAGCATTCTCAAGGTCCCCAGAGCAACTAAATCAAGGTTATAGCACAAGAGAAGGTCCCTTAAGTTAGCAAAGAAGCTAGAGAGTTGCTAAGATCCAATCTGAAATTTGAGTCAGCAAAACACAGAAAAACTCTGAATATGAGGAAGATAAAAATCAAAGAACAGAAAACCATTCTGGACTTGGCATAGCTGGCAGCTGCCTCAGAGGAATCCCTAAGTGACAACGAGGGCACCCTGTACACTTAGAACAAGACACTGATGTAAGATATTTCAAGTTCATATTTTCTTAATTTATGCTTTTTGTCTGCAGTTTTTTCAGACTTAATAATTAAGAACACATCTCTTTTCTCCGCTACAATTAAAAACACAAAACACTTCTTTTTTAAGTTTCTCTTCAGCATGAACTCAGGCTAACCCAACACATAGGAAGGGCTTTTTTATTTCCTTAAAAATTAATCTGAACAAAGCAACGCTGCAGAAAAACTGAGTGCTTACAGCCCAAGAAATGGATGGCTACTCCAAGCACATTATTTTCCACCAACCCCCAAGTATCAAATGCTACAATAAGAGAAGACATCTCCCACGGACAATGCCCTTCCTGGAAGAGCAGATGGCAGAGAGTCCTACACCACCAGACAAAACACTACTGTCACAGAAGGTTATGTTTTCTGGGTTTTTTTTTTTTTTAGCTATACGCTTGTATTTCGCAACTTCAGAACAAACTGTAATTAGATGAAGAAAAATTAACAGAACTTTGGAGCACATATAACATAGTGCCTGAGCATTATTTTCAAGCTTGATTTGATTCATCTGTAAACTAAAAATCAATCAATCAATCAATCAAATTAATAACAAACTGACTGACTATTCACTAGAATTATTCTATAGCCATCATACTTGGAAGATGAAGCTGTTTGAAAACTGATTAAATATCCCCCACATTATATATATAATTTTTACATTTATGTATTTACTTTTCAACTGTATTTTATACTACATACATATATACATATGTATATACACACACAAAGCTGATTTCATAAGTCTGAACAAACAGAATTTCCACCAGATGAACGTTTCCCTATTTTTAACTCACCAAATCCTGATCTAAGGCACTAGGCACAGATTTGCTTCTTATGCTCAGAGTATCCTCATTTCCTTCAGAAAAAGATTCACTCAAATCTATCTCAGATCGGCTGCGATCTGGAAAATAAAAATAATGAAAATGTTCATTATAATTTGTGAAAAAAAACACTCCCTATTGCATTTTGCCACACTTTAATAAATGTTGCCTTAAATATAACATTTTTTTAAGAAATAAAATCAAAGCAGTATTTCTGAAATATTTTCTGTCACACGCACTGCAACTACTGAACATCAAGATGAAAAATGGGAAAGCATGTTTTATGATGCTGTTCAACCTTTTGGCCAGTTCTTTTTTCCCTGCTCTATTTATCTGCTGCTATCTGTTCCCTGTGGATCATATTATTGATCAAGCTTTTGCAAAATCTACAGCCCAAGCACTCACAGTGATTATGAAATCTTTCCTCCACCACCACCAAACTGCCCCCAATGTCTGTTTCAGAACTAAGCAACTAGGGACAGAGACAGGCAGAGAAAGTACTTTTGCTGCTACTGCTGTTTCCTGTGCCTAACAGAGGAGGAGGTGAACAAGTCATGAGTCCTACGCCAGTTCTTTTCAGTCTTTCATTCACTTTTTAAACACACAAGAGACGCTAGATGTGCTGAAGAAAGATTTTCTTAGTCCTCCCCGTAAAAATCTTCTGTGCCATTCTTAAATAAATCACAGAAGAAAATGAGGAAAGAGAATACTTTTAGAATCCTACCTTTAGGTAGGAATCTGGAAAGCTTTTAACTGTTCACCTTCCTAGGCTGTAGCTGATGTGACAGGAAAAAGTCACTCTCCTGAGCTTAATGTCCTTTGAGATCTTCCAACAAGAGGAGACAGTGAGGAGTCTGAGGCCTGTTCCCAGCTTGCCTGCAATTTTGCTCTGCAACCAGCTCCTTTGGTGACATGAGACCAATTCTTATCTACTAAGAAACCCTTTATTTTACGAAGGAACAGAAGGAGAATTTTCTTTTCAGAAAGAAAGCAGCAGTCAGAAATGCCTCTGCCCAGAGCTGCAAAATGCAATATTCCCATTGATACTTTGATACGTTCGAGTGGAAAAAACTAAGGAGAAGAAAGCATCTTCTTTGATTAGCTCTGTGGGATATACCGCTAGGCTTCTACTTTAGGCTAAATTCAACGGAAAGACAGTGAGCCCTGCTGTGCTTCAGAGACTAACCTGTAAAGCCGAATCTGCTCTGTTAGGCACGTAAGAAGCATGTTGAGTGACTGGGAGAAGCAGAAGGCAGGGGCTCCTGCCTTCTGTTTCAGACAGAAAGAGGAGGAGGATCTTCATTCACTGCTGTAACATGGCTCTGAGAACATCTTCCTGCGCAAGTCTTTACTTTACAGCTTCCAATGAAAGGAGGTAAATCACAGTCCAATCTACTGGTTCAGTGCATCATGTACAAAAAGTAAACGGCATGAAGACTGCAAGGGACTTGTTCTCTGACAGCTCACTGCTTCCCATAGTTATTTGCTTCTGGTCAAAGTGGGCATGAGATGTAACCAGAGCAGCACGGAGGTGTTTTATACAGATGTAAAAAGCTAGCATTTTGTAGAGCTGACCACACAGGGAATGATTTTACAATACGCTCTTATGAATGAAAACTCACAGTAATTCTAAGAGCATATGATTCACCTACTATTAACATTCTGCCAAGATTTCTGGGGTTAGGATTACCATTTTTTTAAATATGAAACTTATTAAGTGGCATAAACTCATATAATAAGAGGGAAGAATTTTCAGAATTAACAAGAACATATGAAGTTTTTATCTAATCTTCCCACGTGCATTAAAAACAGGAAGTGCAGTCACAAGAGTAGGAATAATCCTCTCACGTGAAGGGCTGGCAGAAAGCGGTTAAAGATGTAATACTTGCCTGATGATAAAGATACCCTAGAAACCTCAATGGAAGGTGTTCCAGATGATTTCCTACAGTGCTTCTTTACTAAGTCTTCAGGTACACTTTCACTTGCAGGAAAAACCACGCCATTTTCTAAGCCAGTGTCCTGCCCAATACAAAAACCATACATCCCATAAATATAAAAAGTAAGCTTATTCGTGATCAGTCTACAGTACCACCATTTCTGCTAATTCCCAGAACTCCAAAAGGCCCTTTAGCATCTATTCTATTATTAAATATATTTATATTACAATATAATCTGCTTTGTACAGTTCACACAAAATTTGCACAAAGACGTGACTCATGCATACATTCTGAGCTTGCAACTGAAGAATCAGAGCAACGCATCAGGAGTGAGAGGAGGGAAGCAAAACGCTCAAATCTATTCAGCGTTCACTTAGCTTGGCAATTAAAGGATTTCAGTCAGGATTGAACCGAAAGGACTTGAACTAATTTAATTATGCCTATAACTCCTCAAATAAAGCCAATGTGTTTGATATCGCTATGTCTAGTCAACTTCCTCTAAAAGAATTGCTAACATCATATCTGCATCTAAACTAAACGGATTGGTCTTTTTTAAACAAACATAATGCACTTAATCAAGCCAGTTTGTGTGCCAACAAGAATATAAATAAAACAAGTATTAATTTATTTACAGCTCCTGAAACTGGCCCTCATACTTACTGATTTCTTCTTAGGAAAGACAATATATTAGACCAAGTAGTTGGAAACTGGAAAAAATGGACGTGTCCTTTCATCAGGATTCTGAGCTCAGATGCTCGTTTACTTCTTTCCAAACATTAGTGATATTACCTCTTAATATAGATTTTGCTTTCCTCACACACTTAGATCATGACAACTTAGGATAAGTCCTTAGGACACTCCTGATGTGTTAAGAAGGGTGACCAAAATGAATTCAGGATGACCGCCCCTCACAGTGCACAGCCAGGAGCAGGTGCCCAGCCAGGAGCAGGTGCCCAGCAAACAGGCTCTGTCTAGGAACAAAAAGAGGAGCTGCTTCTGCCTGAGATAAGCTGAATCCTTCTGCTGGCTACGAAAGCAACCAAGGGCTGCTACCTCATATAAGGCCATCTACATCTCAACAGTCCTAACAGCTGGTTAGTGGAATCCCACCTTTCATTCTGATACAGCATCTAGCCCACTTTTTGCGTTATGTCGTAATTTATACAGTCTGGTGTCCAAAAGCAGAAAGAGCTAAAATCAGTAGGGCTTGATTTTCTGCCAACACTGAGCCTACAAAGCTCCCCTTTGAATTCAGCGGGAGCATGCTGGATCCCACAGATCCTGTAAAAACATATCCTTAGTTCGTAGTGCTTTTCCAGCCCTTGAAGTGCCAGAAATGCTTGCTCCTATTCCTTGTGCTTCCCACTTCAAAACCTCTAACTGATTATGTAATACTGCACATGAAAAGGAACTTTTAGACATAAGAAAAAATGTTTGCCAAACCAAAAACCACATTACAGACAGAGCATGACAGATTCTCATTGGTCCCAGAAGAATTAAGGAAAAAACAAAATCTTCTCTGGCAGGCTTTGTCCTTTCTGGGCTACAAATTGATCCAACAGGGCAGATACTGGCCAGACCGTCTCGTTTGGTGTCAGATGTGCCAGTGCAGGGAGATTTGCTCTCCACAGCATCACTGTATTTACCCTGGTGTAATCTGTGGTCTCGCTGCGTGCGCTCAGTGCTGGAGACCTCGGGAGGCGTGGCGTAGAAACGCTGCTTCCATTCACAGAACCCACGACCCCTTTCAGATGGCCTGGGGTGGCCTCTGCATCACCGTTGTCCAGTGAAAGAGCGCTCCCTCTGGGGAGGAGATGAGAGTATTAAAGAGAGTATTATTGCAGCAATGATAACATTTTACCGGAATTACATTGCCCTGTATGAACAGTGTTTGATACACTGCAAGAAAATGGTCACCTAGTAAGAAAAGCTCGGGCAAGGGCAAATTACAATTACTTTTTATATATTCCTGTTTTCAACACTTTTGTCAGAACTGTGAATCGCCTAAGCATGGGTCTCTCATCCACATTTCATTCCAAGTTGCAGAAAGCTGCAGTTATCCATTTTTCACACTGCATTCACATCCCAACACTAGATGGGACAACTCCATAAGTGATATTTCCTACCAAGCTCACCAGTTTAAAGAAAAATTACCACGGCATGAGCAGTCTTGGCCACTTCTGCAGAGGATACTAATGCCAGCTCTCTCTCCAAAAATTCTAAAATCTTTAGCTGTCCACTTTCTACCTTCTCAGGAAAAAACACCATACGTTCACTTTCCTGTTTATATTGTGATAAAAATTCTTGACCCAAACTGGCTGATTCTTCCACCATAGCCTGGAAACCAAGGAAAACTGTCCAACTATTTCTGCCATGTTCCTTGTTAGTCAGTAAAAATGGCCAAAAGGAATCTCTGATCAGCACAGCAGAACCCAATTGCTGTCTAATACCTTGTCTATGGAATACGTTTTCCATTGGAAAACACTGATTAGTCCAACTGAGCACTGAACTTTAGCAAGCATAATTTATTGCACTTTTCTGACCTCTTGAAACAATGAAAATTATTTTTAAAGCATATTTTAACACATTTTCACTTAAAGTTTTATTTCCATTTGAAGTCTGATTTGCAATAAAAAAAGGTGAAACCCCACTATAATGTATTTTAAAACACAATGCAGCCTCTTGGCTAATTTACTCTTCTCTCTTTCCGCACAATTATCAGTCCACAAATATTTTCATTTTTCTTCTCAGTTTAGAGAAATCTCAAAAATTCTTGCAGGATAGTAACAATTACTGGTAAATAGGACTTGATGCCGGAACTGCAACCTCGTCCATAAGGAAAATACAATGTCACAGGACAACAGTAATGAAAATGTGCTGGAAAAACTGCTTTTGGAACTGAGAGGACATTTTTAGCCAAAGTAAGCTTGCTTAATAAATATTTCAGATCTGTAGGCATCTTCATTGTGCAAGACAACATCTGAATTTCACCTTCACTTGGTTTAGCCACATCGTGTTCCGAGTAACTGCAGTAAAAATCTTCTCTACCACAATGGAAACTTCTGTAAGAACTACTGCTGCACTGAGAAAAAACATTCTTGAATACAACAGCTCTTGTCTCACTACCAAATTAAGCGGTGAGCACAGACTTTGTACCCGCATTAGTGGAGTTATCCAAAATAAGGAATTAGAAGAAAACTCAAACACCTCCAACACTTACAAATATTGTTTGACCATTTTTGTCTATTAGTGAGCATCCAGTACCTTTTTAACAGTATATATCCAATTTATGTTAACAATAGTAGATAGTGCATAATAAACACACTCTTACACATGTGCATTTAACATGTATGTATTGCTACTTTTTAATCGGATGAACTAGCGACCAATAAACCCTGAAAAAATGTGCTGTGCTTGAATTTTAGTCCTATCAGGCTACTGGCTATCATCTGTATCTTACCAACACTGCTACATTTAGATGCACACACCTGAATTTCCAAACCTGCTATTGCATGGCAAGTAGCCAAAATGTTGAAAACCTGAGTTTTATTGCATGTCAAAACACTTTTGATAGCAGCTTTCATAACAGAAAGTCACAACAATCTATTATAGCTGTTTTCCTCACTGTATAAACTGATGTTAATCAATAAAACAAGGGTTTAGAAGTCATAGTCCTGCTGGAGGTCCTGCCAGAGACATCAAGGTGGACTGAACACTCGCACATCAGATCTGTTGCAGAGACCTCTCAACTCCTTTGCTCTTATTTCAGTCAGCTATCAGAGAAAGGCTCAACTGATTTTACACACATATTAGATAGCAAAAGACAAATGTTGTCTTAAGGTGACTAAGTCAGGCATTTCCATGTGCTAGACAGCACCTCTGTGTGATGGGGCAGTATGCCCCTGTGGATGAATCTGAAATTGCAATCCTATTTCTCATAGAAGTATCCTGATGCAACCTTCCAGTTCATTCAGCTGTAAAGCAAATAAACACTTTTGCTGAAGTAGAAGTAAATCACCTGAAGAGATGAACTCATGGCCTGGGCCTCGCTGTTCTTAGCTCAGTATAGCTTTGTTTAAACCAAAATATTTAGAAAGAATGAAAATTCTCTCTCAGACTCCCTGTTGGCAGGTGCAATACTATCAGTTTTGGCAACGCCCCTAAAAATGCAAGGGTAATTACAAAAATCAGAAATATTCACGAATATTTACGACAGCTGCAGTGTCACAAGATATTGCCGAATTCTTTTAATTTGAAACTCAAAACAATTATGGAATGGTGTGGGAGGCTTTGTTGTTATTTTTAATAATAATTACTACTCAGTTCTTTAAATTCACAATAGATTAATTAGATACTTGAGGATGCTTGCTTTAGTTAAGTATTTAACCACACATGTACAAGACAGGAATTTTCACCCCTCTCCTGAAAAAAATGAGCTCCTCCTCAATCCTTCAGCAGACTAATATAAATAAAGTGTCATGCCTTCTGTAGACAGGAATGTAATTCCTTCCTCTTCCCCCCGCCCAAAAGCATCTCCCGGTAACACAGTTCTGTTACTTTGACACAGGTCACTGATTTGGCCAGGTAAGGCCGAGATGATCGGTAGGGAGAGAAATTGCCCTAATGACTCAACACCCTTCATGTAATAAATCCTGCATACTGGCTCTGGGCAAAAGCTAGAAATTGATGCTTTATGTGAAAGTCAAGTAAGGCAACCAAACATAAAAGCTATCTTTAAAGGTTACAGGTAACTTCACTCTATCCATCCTTCTAAGCTCGTAGATAGCACTCATGAGGTAGTAAATTCTACTACCGTAAAAAAAATCTATTTCATCTAATTTACAATGAATTGCATGATAACTTTATTGCAGTCTTTGGCACATCAAACCTGCTGCACAAATCTCTCACAAGTATGCCTTTGTCCTTATATTGTCCAAGTATTAGGGAAAGTTGCTTAACATTGCTAAGTTATTAGCAATAACTTGCTCAGTTATTATCCCAGCTTAACATTGCCTTATCCCAGGGCTAAGGAGCACAAGTACTGGATTCTTGAGTTTCTGTCTCTTGGTGTTTTCACTCATCTCTACTCTATTCAATTAAAAACAAAACAAAGTAAAACAAATCCAGAGAAAGAGCAAAAATAAAAGTCACGTGTGAAGCTGGTTCTAGATATAGAAGGCCTAGTTACCTAAAGGAAGCTTAGTGAACCGCACAAAGATTAAAGATGATGACTAGCTTTAAAGCTGATCTGGCCAGTAAGCTCTGCAGTGGCCAGCTCAGAACGAATAAACCCAAACTGTCAACTTGCAGGAAACCTGCCACCATCAGCTTTAGACATGCTGCATAACAACCAGTGATTGTTGTCTACAACTCAAAAACATAAAAGGAAACAAATTCTTACTTAAATAAAAAGGCTAATCTGTGGGCAAAATAATCTTCATGATGTTTCTTTTACGTGATACCCTTTGAAATGAACTTGCCAAGATGTACTCAAGTGTCCTAGTGCTCCTGTATACCTATTTAGAGTCTCTCAAGAATACTGCTCTTTAGAGCTGGAAAATTGTACTGGATCTTACAGCAAAATAGTATTATTTTTCAATACAGACTGTAAGATTTCTAGGTGTGTGCACCCGTGCAAAGAAAATGGGTCTACATCCAGTATGGTTTATCCAACTGAACAAGAAAAAAGTAAGGTATTTTTGGCCTCATTTTGAAGGTGGATCATGAAAGGAATGTTCCATGTGTCATTTTCTAATGTGGTGAACAGAGGCAACGACTGAGATCTCTTAAGCCCAGAAGAACGGTCAATGGAATTCTATCAGAAATAACTGGGATAATAATCACGGAAAGAGCAAGGCAACAGAACCTTTGAAAAAGGAAATACAAATTTTAATCAATTAACTTGTCATTACCAAAGATAAACTTTGGAATAAAGGTCCTCAGCTCTGCAACATGAACACAGCTGGATGAATTAAAACCAGACAACGAAAACCAAAGCAGTAACAGCAATCACCACTCAAACGCAAGGAGAGAAAAGGGGCTGGACAGAGATCTTTTGTTTCATTTTGTTTTTTAATACAAGTTCTGCTTCTCAGATTTTAACAATGCTGAGCATTCAAAGGCACAATGCATCTCCAGGACTGGCATGCACCCTTAGGTCAATCCCAGCATGAGCTATCAAATTTCTACTGCTCACCTCTCAGAACAAGGCGTTGACCTCCCACTGCACAGACTTTGTGTTTCAGCTTCTGAGCATGTGTTCCTTCCACCTTCATCTTTTGTATTTGAAATTTCTCCTTTGGTAACTGCCCTAATTACCTTCCTGATGAAAAAAAGGGAATAAAAGAAAATGTTTTAAAAGTTGCAAGCTTTTTTTCCAGGAAACAGCACAGTGACTGAAATATGGTGATGGGTAGGTTCAACTCATTTCATCTATCCTAAATGATGGCCACTCTGGATATAATACTGAACAGAGTGCCAAACTGGGATACCAGCCTCATTCCTACAAAAAGCAGCAGCATCGTATTTACTGTAAACTACTTTTTAAGATACAGAACATCAAAACATTTTTTGTACTCAACATGACCGCTTCCCGCTGTGAACCAGGAGTGCTTTTTGCGAAAAATCTTATTTTTTACAGCACATTCACAGCAAAGGCTTGTTTGAGCAAGTATGTGTATTTTCTCCTAGCAAATTATACTATGGGTATGTTCTCTTAAAGACCTCCTTGTAGTTTCTACAACCACGTGCAACAATGCCCCACACATGCTATTTTCCAAAAACATAACACCACCCTCTGCCCTGCAGGATGTGATCTAGAAAAGATAAAACAAGAAAGAAAATTTTGAAAAGTAATAGTATTCTTCATTGACTCACAAACAACAATAGAACGTTAAGGTGTCCCATAACACTGCATATCAGCAGGAGCTGGCCGCAAAATGGTTCTGCTTATACAAACTGACTCATGAGATATATGAATGTGGAACCTGAGGGAGGAAGAAGGAGCAAGAAAGGAAGAGGAGGAATAATGAACTACTTCTAACAGAGGGCACAAAATATACCTAGGAAAAGCAAGCCTACTGACTGTAGCATTAAATTTGCTTTACAGGGAATGTAATCACTGCAAAACATGTTTCAGGTCACAAAATGAGAAAGGCTGGAAACCACTAAAAGAGATAACAGACAATAAAAATAGATTTGTTTCTCATAGGCGAATATGACTAATAGATCTGCACAAAGGATTTAAATGAAGAGAGGATTAGATCTGCAGGACCAGAAAGCAAATACTGCCAAGCTCATTGGACACACTTCGGCGTTAGGTAAGTACTTAGATTTCTCATGAGTACAGAAACAACTGCATGTCCTCTACAATAATGCTCAGTAAAAACAATGTGGATTCAGCATTCAAATATTTATGAAGATGTGGGCCCAAGAGTTGCTAACTGAGATAGCGCAGTCACACCTTAGCTTATACCTGTACCCTTTCTTATATCTACATCCAGGTTATTGCACAAAGCGTAGCTTTGACAATCTGTACTTCTCAATTAATATCACGGACAACAATGTTTCAGGCATCAACTCTCCAATGAAAGTAAACGTTAATGAACGGTCACTATAGTTACCAATTAGCATGATTTACAGGCAACATCGAAGTCCTACTATAGCAGAGTCCTTAAACTAGCTCTTTCTTTGGCTTCATTTGAGAACTTGGAGGCATTCAGATGCTCTTTTTTCCAATATTAAAAAAGGACAGAAATCACTCAAGTTAATTTCTTGAGTGACTGGAACAACAAATTCCATATTTGGCATTCCCCAGAAGTCTAGCTCTTTCCATACTCAGAAGATGGTCACAGACGTAAAAAGCTACCTACTTAACCCTATATTTAGGGTCCATAATAAAAATTGTTCTGCTACCAACAGAAACAAAGTTTTCCAACTACCAGCCCATATAATTCCAGCCAGGATTTGAAAGTTCAGCTGAGTTTTCTTCCTTTTCATCCAATAGTCGCAAATTACGTCCAGGCACCACCTACGCAACCATATATTCAATGTATCTGCCTATTCCCCCTCACAGTAAGTAAGCACTCCCATAAAGGTATAGCATAACTGGGATTATACATGTCACTGAGACTATGAAATGACCAGCACCACAATCTGTTTATTCACTGTCAAACACAAAAGAAAGGAGTATCGCATTTATTGTTAGACTGCATTTACAGAGCTGGAAACTAAAAAACTACACGACTTGTTAACTGAACCAATCAGTACACATAAAAACAGATGCTAAAAATACCATTTTTTGCATTTGCTTATTCTGCAGACCAGCATTTAGGGACATTCTGTTACTTCAAAGCATAAACAGGAAGAATCCAAGAGTAAAACTGCCTTTTTTCTACTACCTCTATAGCTGAAGAATAATTACTGCTGCATTTCCTAGGAGACAGCACTCTAATTATAGCAAGCTTTTAAATGAGAAATGATGTTTCTAACCCTGGGAAGTTTTTGGTTGATATGGCATGCTGGAGAGACTAAAGAAAAAAATCCATCTGACCATACACAGCTGCATTCTGATTTTTCAGTTTCCAAACGAAAAATCTTTACCCTATCTTTCTAGGTCCGCTGAAGATAGATTTATGTCCACTTGTGGAGGAGGTTGATATATCTGGCCCTTTTTCTGCATTCTCCTGGGGATGATCTTTAAACACTCTTCCTTCATCCTTACTGGAAACTGTATCTTCAATGGGAGGGGAAAAAAACAAAATTAATGTTTATAGAAAAAAAGGCAACATGTCAAGCATGACCTACAAAAGTAGACTTTCTGTTTTACAATATTAAATAAAAACATATGATAAAATATCATACATAAAAAGCTGGGGAGGTTATTGGTTTTTGCTTTTCAATAAAAGAAAATAAATTTTAAATAGTTTGAAATGTTTCTTGCTATCAGCTTTTCTGTTGAACCATGCTTCTGAATTTGTCACTGACAAAAAAAACACACTTAACAACCAAGGAACTTGAAATATAATATTGCAATGTAAAGTATTTTCTGCGTTAAATGAAAGAGCAATTTCCAAATCAAAATTGCTTATTCAGGTAGGAGCAAAATAGAAAAAAAAATTAGATATATTATGGAAGAATGGTTTATACATCAAATGTAAACATACAGTAACAAAACACAAAATACCCAATTTGACAGGCTGCATAATATAAAACACTGAAAACCAAGGACAAAGAGACACACCAGTTTGATAATTTCTAAAACACACTGATATTGGAAAGATCAGTATTCTGCCAAGCAGTATATTTACACCAGGTATTTTTTCACTGGCATTAAATCATTCTTTCCTCCTAAGAACTGCCAGTTGCCCTCAGCTTCCTACTGAAAGTGATAAATGCTTCCTCTGAAAACAGGCTATCTGAATAACAGCTTCTATGTGCAGAGTAACATAGTTCAGTGGAGGGAGAAGCATCAGCATGCAGGAAAAACTCCCAGTTCTTAAACCAGTGGTCTCGTGTAACAGGCAAGGTACCATGGTAGACCTGCTGTGCTAGATCAGAATAGTAGACTGTGGTTTTTGTACCTAATAGTAAGGTACACTCTCACTCTGTACCTAAAAGCACAGGTGCAGTTTTCTGAAGATGGCTGGGCAACAGGAAAGTCAAGTGAGAACAGAGAGGTACCAAGTAGGCTGGGATGTAGCCCATGCTCCAGCAGATAGCACAGGACTAACACTTAGCTTTCTTTATTCAAAGTTAAAAAAGAAAACAGAATTGTACTTTCTACTCACCACAAACATAATTAAATAAGAGAGGCAAAGATGAATGGTTGTTTTCTATATCTGTATATCGCCAAACTTCCTGGGAGGAATTAAGAAAGAACTTTTAGAGCCTCTGCTTCTGCTTTGGAGCTGAATTTTAATGCTGTCCATCTGTTTGGACAGTAAGATTTTAAGCAGCTCTCTGTCTCCACAGAGATACTTCCTCACCCATCTATAGCTTACCTTTTCTATTCATAAACAGTGCATAGTAATACCCAAGTATGAAATTAAAATTAAAATACCAATTATACTTGCACATGCTACAGTGAAGAATGAAATACACAGTAACGGAAACAGTTTACAAGAATTAAGCATAAATAATGAACCTCTCTTTTGTGGTCCTTACCATACCTGGGAATCTGCGCAGGATAGACTGTCTGACAACATCGGTTCCAAGGAGATTGGATTGTTTGAAGCGCTTTGCTCTCTCTTCAAAAAACCATTCACCTGTTACTATCCTCAGCTGTCTATAGGCAGAAGAAGAAAAAATCCAGGAAGACATGCACATTAGGAAACTTGGCCAACCAAAACTGCTGCTTAAACTCTTAGGGCATCATCCACTCATAACACTCATGAGCTCTGGACAACATCTGCATGATTGCAAAACTCGAGATAGTACGACAAATGTAGTAGAAAAATAAAATCATCCTGTTTTGTGAATAAAAACTAGTTTTCAGTACATGAAAATTTACTTGGGAAAAAAGTGTTGCAACCATTCTTACCAGATTTCCATAGAAAATATGTAATATGTACTTTCTACCTCTTCCTTTGGATAGAGAACTACTCAACTCCACAATTTTAAAACTCTTCAAAAAGACAGGGGATGTGTAAACAACCACAATGCATGGAGAGGAAAGAAAAAAAAAAATACACACACCCACACACACCCACCCAAAAGCAAAAATCCTGCCAAACAAGTCAGCAGTTCATGGACCCAGCCTGGTTATATATCTTTTGCTGCAAGTTCACACATATTTTTAATGTAATATCCTTTAGGTTTCATATGCTGCCTCTATACATGATTTCTTCAAATGACAGCACTATTACCAGTTCTACTAACATAGGCCAGAAAACAACAACAAAAATTCAAAACACTTGCCCAGAAATATAGTGATATACCATTATTGTCTTATCCTGTTTCTGAAAACTCCTAGTGACAAAAAAAAAAAGCCCTATAATTCATCATCACAATCAGTCAGGCATTATGCAAAGAAATTAGACACAACCTCTACATTTCCACTCAGAGTTTTTTTAAATGACTTTTATCAAGCACATAAACACTGGAAAGGATTTATTTCATCAGAAACTATGCACCTTTTGGCTAACATGAAAAATAGTTTTTCTCTCAAGGTGTATTTTCACAACTCATTTACAGCATGCACTTCTCTGCAAGCTTGTTTTTTTATGCTGAGGTTTACAGTAAGTCTAACGCTTCATATCAAATCATAATCTGTCAGAGCTTTGACTAAGCCATCATAATCTACTGCAATATAAACGACATACTACACTGCAGTATGAACTACGTGGTTCATTCATTTCTTCTTAGTTACTCCCAGGTTTGAGGGGCTGCTGGGATGTGCAAGGAAGGCTCAGCAGCTGTGCTGTTGGCAAAATAAGAAGAACCTCTTGCAGCATCCATCTCTTGTGAGGGCTTTCCTCTCCTCCTCTGCCCTGCTGGGGTAGTGGTCACCCCATCCACACTCCTAGCTCACTGACAGCCTCCTTCTCTCTGTCCGTCTCACTCCATCTCCTGACATCTGAACAACTTTCCTCCTCCTCCTCCTTCAGGGAAGCAGCCTTGATGAGGGGAAAGCTACCACCAGGCCAGAGAACGTGGGATGAGTACTGTGGAGGACTTTTTGTTCCTGTTGCCATCCCCTTGCACAGTAACTACTGAGCCCATACTCACCTTCCTCTCAGCTGCAAAAACTTGTGCAAGGAAGAGACAGGTTAGCCTACTTGAGCTAGAATTGTTGGACCCTGTATCTTCTAACAAAGGAAAAGCAAGCAATCTACTACTTTTAGTAATCTGTCTCTGCAAGCTGTAGCCCACTGTCATTAAATAGCCTCTAATTACATAGCTAGTGCCCTCTTGCTTAACCCAAGGAAGTTCAGTCATCACTACGTGCTCTGGCAAACTACATCCTCAAGAAAGGGAGAGGATGTGAACAACCCTTTTTGTAGGTCTAAGGAGGCAAGAAACAGTATGACAGCCAGTATCCTGAAGGAAGTGAACTACATGACAGTTCAGCTAATGATGGTAAATCGAATTATCCATCTCTTTCATCATCCTGATCTTATTAAGCAGTAAATACCACATTTTAAACTAAAATGTACTACTCTTAACTCCAGGTTGCCAATTCCTCGGCAATATTTGCTTTGAGAAGGCCTACACCCATTCTGCTCCCTCCAAGTACACAGAGGATTCAGAACGCTCTAATCTTAAACTTTATCAGAAGAAGCAGATCTGCTATAAAACCAAAATAACTCCCACAACCAACTCCCATAACCAACACATGAAACACAGCAAATAAAGGGAATATTGTCTTGTCTTTAGTCAAGTGTTTCATCTCTCTAGGCAATTCTACTCTTATCCACAGTGAAAGGGAAAAAAATCCATCAACAGCCAGTCACTGCAAGTCTCGGATGGAACAGGTTTAAAGGCCTCAACCTTCACTTTAACTCTTTGTCTTTAGAATCATCAATGCTACTTTCAGACTTGGCATTTGAGTCCAGTTGGCAGTCCTTTTTGTGGAAAAGTTCATATTAAAGTATTGGATGGGTATATGTAAATGTACTTTTCATGTACAGTGAACAATTCACAGAAAGGCTAAAGTTCATAGTATCTTAATCACTCCTATATTTCAGATATAACTCTAAAAAATTTCTTGTTCTGTCTATAAATATAAATGAATTCAGATTAAATGACTGCTTAAACCTCTGACTTGAAGTCTGAATTTCATAATCGTATTTGTTGTTCTGTAACAAAAATTGAAGAACTAGACCTAAACCATCTTCTAATAATGTTATTTTCATGCATTTATAACTATGACAAAGAGACACTGTCCTTACTGCTGAGATAACCTATCTTCCTTTTACTTCTGACATAGGACTTACACGAACCCTTCCCGTTTCGGTAAACTTTCCAGTAGGAAAAGAAACAAGGCTGTATACTCAACAGTACAACAAATTAGAGTGTTCAGAGGTTTATTCTGTGTTGTTTTTAAAGTGGGTCCGAGCTGCATACTGACATGTAATTCATGGTTTGGGCGTGCATCTTCTTTACTTATGCTTCCTTTCTCAGTTGGCACATAGCATATACAGTTAAAAAACAAAGTACATTCTACTAAAACCGTGTTTAGATTGGCCTGCCAGGGTGAAGGACAGATGCAGAAGTCACTAGCTTTAGAAAGAAGGAAAATGTTATAAATTGCAATAGCAACAACTTTTGCATGATTGCTCTTTCCCATTCTCGAAATGGCTAGGAGCTAGGTTTAGTACAGAATACTTTAGATTTCAGCTAAGTCCTTTTACATTACTCAAAACCATGTGAGAGAGAGTACTTCAGGGTTGCGTACTTCTTGCTCTGTGATCTCCTACTGAACAGATTATCTTCATTAACACGCTGCTCAGCTTCAAAATGAAAGACAATCCGTGGCCTAGCCCTGCCAAGAACTCAGCCGCTGATTTTCCACTCTCATTCCTGCAAAATACTTCATGGTTAAATGCTCAAATATAAAAATGTGTTTTGAGATGGAAAGTCCCAATTTCTATCTTTATTCATTTCATTTGGAAAAAAACATTCGTTAAACAGGCTATTGATGCCTCACTGCTAACCTGACCATCCAGCCTAACCCTTATTCCCCGTAAAGAAAGACTTACTTCAGCTTCCTTTCCCTCTCCTATTGCTCAAGCACTGTACTTCTGGGAAGTAAAACTAGGAAAAAGTTGCAACACCAGAGGCTTGATAAAACACAGCCCATACATAAACATACCAAAATACAGACACTTTTCTTCGTATGCATTTGATTTCACAGAATATTTTCTATAACATATAATAATTCCAGAGTATTTTCAATATGCTGTGATGCTACTAAATTTGTGACACCATAAAAAGAAGCAAGGCAAACCTGCTTATAAGTTACTAAAAAAAAAAAAAAAAACAGGAAAGCTAAAGAACGTTTGTATACTAGGACATTTGAAATGTCTCTATTTTTAAGCTCCTATTGTGCATAAACGTTACAAAGATAGAGACGAGTTTCATGACACTTTGGGACAATGTAATTATTTGAAAGAGGAAGATAAAGTTCCCACTACTGCTCTGTTCTGCTGCAACAGTGTAGGCCACCTAGGCATTTTATCTTGCTGAAGAATTCAATCAAAATAAACAAACTGTTTCAGACACATGTTCATAATGAGAAATACACAGAGCAGCAATAAGCCTGAGAGCAGACTGCTTGAATAATTTGATTTCCCGCAGCCGATCACTCACACCATTTTACATGTCAAATTTAAAACATAAACTAACTAAACTTTATTTTCAGAAGATGCAGGAAAAAGTGACCATGATGGAAAGTTTCTCTTTTATACCTATGTCTGAAAGCTACTGATGGCTACAGTTGGTCCTTGTATGCAGGGAACGTAGCAGAAATTTTCCTTGTATGCAGGGAACATAGCAGAAAATTTCCTCTTTCATCAACTGCATCGCAAGACACAGGATCAATTTACCCCATTAAATATTACAACAATGGTCCCCATCCATGAAATTTATGATCACATACATAAATCTTGTTCTCTACCCTCAGCAACAGCAGAACTAGAAATATGTGGGTAGACTTAGCTCTAACACTCTT